AAAGTGCTTTTCTGTACATTGTCTTACTTTGATCTTCTCAGCAATTCTCTCAAGATAACATGGCACATTTTATAACCATAAAAACTGACACTCAGAGTAGATGACTTCTCCAAGCTAGTAAGTGGCAACACTGGAACCCTAATCTGGACCTTCTCGATGTAATTTCCATCACTGCAAACTAATTCAATGTGCTGCAAATAGCGAAATCCATTAAAAGAGAAAGTATTTCTATTTAAAAAGACAGAGAAGCCAGCTAGGTATAAAATAATCTGCAAAGAGTACGATTAAAATTATTTCTGGAATATTAGAAATCCTTTCATTAGAACAGTATTCCCTTCACACAAGCCTAATTCTTCCCTGCTCATTAAAATACTGCATATTCTCGGTGGTTGTTGCAATTCAGTCCATTCCAATTCAAGAGAATCCTATGTGTGCAAAAGAGGATTGTTCCATAGGGTTTCAAGGCTCTGATCTTTCAGAAGCAAGTCACCAGGACTGTCTTCCAAGCTACCTCCAAATGGATTTGAAACACTAACCTTTGGCTAGTAGATGAATGCTTAACCCTTTGCACCACTCAGACTTCTGCATAGTCTCTAAACGCAGATAATAAGAACAATAATAATAATAATAAAGCTTTTATCTATTGAAGACTTAGATGCCAGGCTCTGTCCTACATTCTCCACATTCATTAACTTTAATCCTTACTACAGCAACCTTATTAAGTAGATATTGTTATCATTATCATCTTCATCATCATCATCATGATATAGATAGAAAAAACTGTGACATAGACAAGTAAGTTTCCCATGATTGTTTGGCAAATAAATTGTAGAGCCAGAATATAAACTCAGGTACACGTGGTTCAGTGGTTTCCCTTAAAAGAGAAGTTTAAGTTTCCCTTAAAAGGGAAACTTCCTCTGTCCCATTCCAGTTTCTCCCTATTAGATGCAACCAGTGATAGGAGAAGAATCACTAACTTAGATTAAAGACTTAAATTCTTTCCATACATGCCTAAACAATACTAATCGGGTTGACCAGTGACTAAATTACATCTTCAAAGTGTTAGAGAACCCAAAAACAAAGTGCCTAGAAGTGAACCCAGAACAGTATATGCAACTGACAATTACGGAAAGTCAACATGCTAAGTGATATTAAATATATGAATGTGTGTGTGCATGTATGTGTATATATTTTACATGTATTTATGGTACATGTATCTATGATTTTTTTTTGCCATAAATGTTACATTGTTCTCTCTTTTTTTCTAAAAGTGACACTGCATCTAAAGTTCTTTCTTTGGAAATTAAACTGGGCAGTAGAGAAAATTTCTTTTCATAAATGCAGTAACAGTTTTCTTATATAACTGGATATAGAAAGCTGTTGTATGTGGGTTGCTATAGACTACTATTTCTCTGGTCCCTGATGACCCAGATGCACATAAGGAAATATGGAAAGGAAGAGTGAATATGGACAACAAGGATCTAAGCCGGTCTGTCCCACCTTCAGAGTAATTTCCTCTCCAACAGAAGCACAAAACAACCCTGGAGGACATTATACTAAGTGAAATAAGTAAATCACAAAAGGACAGCTATTATATGAAACCACTATTATAAAAAGTCAAGCAAATGTTTGCATGCAGAAACATCCTTTGGGATGGGAGAGGAAGAAAGGAAAGATCACTAACCACAGAGTTGACATGCATTAGCTTGAGTAAAGGGAAAGGCAATATACAATAATGGCGAGGTCTGCACAACATGACCAACACAAAGGAAGGCTCAGGACCATGGTCTCGGGGACACCAAGGTCAACTGGCATAACAGTCTACAAAAACAATCTACATCTCACTTCAGTGAGTAACAACTGGGATCTTAAAAGCTTGTGAACAGCCATCTAAAGTACCATTATTGGTCTCTCCCCATCCAGAGTGAAGAAAAATGAAGAAAATCCAAGACACAAGGAAACAGTTGGTCCAAAGGACTAATGGAGCAGGTGAACCACAGCCTCCATAACCCTGAGACCAGAAGAACGAGATGGTGCCTTGCTACCACTGCTGCCCATTCTAAAATGCATCACAACAGGAGGTGCTAAATTGAGTAGGAGTAAAATGTGGAACAAAACTCAAAATTAAAAAGACAAAACAAAAAAAGACCAGATTTACTGGTCCAATGGAGACTAGAGGAACCTCTGAGATTATAGCTCTTCAGGCTTGAAACTTAATTCACCACCACCCTACCACCACCACACATGGCTCAAATTTCAGCTAAATGATGTTGTTGTTGTTGTTATGTGTCATCAAGTCAGACCCAACTCATAGAGATCTCTCCTTGGGTTTCCAAGGCAGTATCACTATGGAAGTAGATTGCCCAACCTTCCTTCTGAGGAGTAGCTGGTAGGTTTGAACCACCAGCCTTCTGGTAAGCAGTCAAGTGCCTTAGGCATTACGCTACCAGAGCTCCCAGCTAAATGACAGATAGGCTTATAATTATAAGATTAAACATAATACAAGGAGGTATGCACTTCTTAGAACAGTCAACCACATGAGGTCAAAAGGGATAAAGCTCAGAAAGCAAGAAAGGACAGGGAAGACAAATGAAAACAGTAAACACAGGGAAGAAGTGGGAAGAGTGCGGTTACAGTGTGGGGAGTGCAGTCGATGTCACAAAACAAAATGCGTATGAACTACTGAATAGAAAACTAATTTGCTCTGAATTAAAGGCAACAACGGTAAATACTATTACACATACAACTCTGCAGTAACAGTAATAACAAACAATAATTTATGAGTGGATATATAGGTAGACATGCAAGCTGAACAGGTATGAGAAGGTGAATGGGTCTACACTCACAAGCATATATATATATATATATTATATAGGTTTAACAGAGGATATTTCTACCTATGTATTTGCATACGCTGTTAATACATCCAAGTATAGAGTAGAGCATTCAGAGGGAAAATTTATGGAAACTTCTTAGCCATAACCAAACCCTGAGGGTATGAGACACTAGGCTTGGGAGCTTAGGACCATAGTCTCTGGGGAAATCTAGGCCAATTAACATAACAAAGTCCATAAAGACAATGTTTTATATCCTACTTTGGTAACTAGTAACTAAGGTCTTAAAAGCTTGCAAGTAGCCATCTAAGATCTAGCTATTAGTCTCTCCCTGTTCAAGCCAAAGAAGAGTGAATAAAATCAAAGACTAAAGGTTATAATTAGTCCAAAGAAATAATTACAAAAAAACAGCCATCAAGGTGACTCAGACTCATAGTGACCGTATGGTACAGAATAGAACTGCCTCATAGGGTTTCCAAGGCTGTACAGAAGCAGACTGCCTCATTTTTCTCCCATAGAACAGCTGGTGGGTTCATACTGCTGACCTTTTGGTTAGAAGCCAAATGTGTTTAACACTACGCCAGCAGATTTCCTTAAAGGACTAACAGACCATGTGAACTATAGCCTCTACTAGCCTGAGACCAGAAAAACTAGTTGGTGACAGCTACCACTACTGACCACTCTGATAGGGATCACAATAGAAGGTCTTGGATAGAGTGGGAGAAAAAACGTAGAACAAAATTCAAAATCATTAAAAAAAATACCATACTTACTTATCTGATAGAGACTAGTGGAACTCCCAAATCTGTAGCTATCTGACACTCTTCAAACCTGGAACTGAACCCACCCCCTAGGTATCACCTTTTAGCCAAACAATAGAGAGACCTATGAAGTAAACAATAATACCCATGAAGAACATATTCCTCAGAACAACCCAGCATATGAAACCAAAAGAGCCGCGTTTGCCCAAAAACAAAGCTCAGAAGCCAGGAAGGGACTGGCAAAAAGGAGAAATGGAAACAGTAAACTCAGGGAGGAAGAGGGAAGAATGCTGTTACATAGAGGGGCTTATGGCTACTGCCACAAAACAAAAAATGTATAAATTTTTGAATGGAAAACTAATTTCTTCTGTAAACATTCACCCAAACCTCAATAAATTTAAAAAGAGAGAGAGAAAAAAAAAGGCACAGATTAGAAGACAGACGATAAATAATCATTTTCCAGATCTGTGAATTACAAATTCTCTTCATGAGCCCATTTAAATCATGTCATAGACTGACATTTTATGGGGAAAAAGCCTATCTATAAAAACTACATTGACAGACAACATTTTCAAAAACCACATGTGCAAAACAAAGCATACCAGCCTCCATTGCTCCAATTGCAATTTGGAGACATTTACATTCAAAATAATACTAACTCATTCATTTAACAAGAATTTATTGAGCATACACACTGTGGTTTGAAATAGCAGATATAAAACTGTACAAGACAATGTCCCTTCCCACTGTGGAACTCATAGTCCAGTGAGTATAACTGATTCCATGGAAAGCAGTCACATTTCAAAACGCCAATGACTAATTTCAACTTGCCAAATGGGTTCAAATAACATAGAAATGGTCATCTGAAATATTGTTATGTTATTGACATTGAAATGTATTAGATAAATAGATGGATAAAGATATAATTAAATAGAAAGCAAGATCCTTTCAATCTCTATATAAACAGAAATGCATTCCACATCAGTGGACCTCAGAGAAAACTGAAGATCCAGGATATCTCCGGAATCCAGTAAATTATCCAAAAAGACTCGTATCTTTCTGCTTCCCAATGTACTTCAAGTCCCTGGTTGATTAATACATTAATACATCTAAATAAGGAACTTGAAGTAGACATTGGAAAAGGTGGAAAGTAGTGAATATACAACTAAGAAAGGAATCTTGGTTACCTTGCATATTTCAAAGCCAATGTAAATTATATTAATTTTGGATTATCTGCTCTTTTATATTCCTCATACCTCTTTCCTCTTTATTAGTGAAGAAGGATGGATTGTCTGTGCATTTGCTTGATTCCACTGAGAGACCTGAATCACCACTTGGATATATCAATCATTCCTTTAAGATTAGTCTCTACTAAAAGCCTGCAATGAAATGATAATGCACTAACCTGTCTCCAGTTAATGGCAAAATAATGGTTGCTTGAGAAGAAAATACAATGAAAGATAATCTCATTTGAGGGCTGAAAAAAAAAAAAAAAAGACAGTTAAAACATTTTTTTAAAAAGAGATATTGATGTAATACATATATATAGCTGGGGAGTCTCATTATGAATTGGTCTTATAGAATGGCCCAGGCTTTTTTTAAATGGAACTTCTAAGGAAATACACTAACTCTGCTTAACATGACTGGGTAAGTCACTTTGGATTTAGTCAGTGTTTCTCAGCACAGGAGCACTCTTCTATAGCCCACAGAGACTTGCACTTAGAAAGAGGCTAACTGTTGTCATATGTGTGCAAGTCGATTCCAACTCATAGCAACCCTATATGACAAAGTGGAACCGCCCCACAGTGTTTCCTAGGCTAAAATCTTGATGGGAGCATACTGCCAGGTCTTTTCTCCTGCAGAGCCACTGGTAAACTTGAACCACTGAAGTTTCTGTTGGCAGCTGTGTGCTGAACCATTGCACCACCAGGGTTCCTTAACAGTAAAGTAAATTCCAGGTCAGTGTAAAATTCTTTTGCAGAAAATGCTTCTTGCTTTGGTGCTTTACAGTATCTCCTTAAAGGAGGCCAGACCCTTCAGAATGGCTATCCTCAGCAATATTTAGAGCAGAAAAACAGCTAGTTTGGCTTAATTACCACAATTATGACATGAGTCCATGCAAAAGTCATTCTGAAATAAGAATACTTAAATAATGTCATGGAAAACGTAACATAAACTAACAAAGTTCATGTTGCTTATACAGTTTCAATATCCCATGTCTCAGTCATCATATTTACAATTAATAACAATTGCAATAGTCAGCAACATCTCTCAAGATTTGGCATAAATGTCTCACAAAATGGTTCTCATTTCTAGGACACATTATGCAACCATTCACTAAGATCTGAAACTAACATCTATAAACCAAAGATGAGAATTATCTCAAAGCCTTATACAAATGTTAAGATATTTTCTTATGTTGTTGTTGTTGTTGTTATGTGCCATCGAATCAGACCTGACTCACAGCGACCCCTCTTTGGGTTTCCGAGGCAGTATCACTACGGAAGTAGATTGCCCCATCTTCCTTCTGAGGAATGGCTGGTGGGTTTGAACCTCCAGCCTTCTGGTCAGCAGTCAAGTGCTTTAGGCACTATGCTACCAGAGCTCCCATTTTCTTATGTAGTGGCTAGTAATTGAGTAAATTGAACTTGAGTCATACAACTATGTATTACAGAACTCCAAGTTGCAAACCAGACCAAATAAATAAGAACTGAGCTTTTTAAAATATTGTATTGAAACTATCTGTTGCTTAATGATCAACATCTATGTGATACTCGCAACACACATTCAGATTGAATCAGAACATTTATAAATAGTTTCTTCTGCCTGTGATATTTAAAAATATAGTCTTTTTTATTTTTCTTTCCTAGAGAGTTTTACTTCAGCCACTATCCAGAAATTAAGTGTTATACTTGTCCTTGTAAGCAATGGCCTAATGACTGAACATGGACAAGAATATATTTTTATAGGATAAGTTTACTGTTGCCAATAATGAAAACAAAAATTGTCTAGGACTCTGCAGATTGTTTGAAGTTACTTGCAACATGACTTTCAAAATGTTTTGATCATTCAGCCTGTTTTACAGAAAACATTTGGGCTAACAAGATTGAAAGAAGCAATATTTAATAATACAACTCCTATTTGTGTCCTTCCCATTATCTTGATAAGTTTACATATGCTCCTTGCATTTTTTTATATTTAAAAAGAAAGAAAACTTCAAAATCTTGGTTTCCTGGAGCTATTTTTGAACAGGAGATACCACTATTTCTAGTTACCTCTAAATAAGAGAGTATGTTGGATTTCATAGCAGTTATGCTTCTTCTTTTTGTTCCCCCCAGTGTATTCTAGTGAGACTTATCGCATATATACTAAAAAAACACCAAACCCACTGTGGCGTCAACACCAACTCATAGCAACCCTATAGGACAGAGCAGAACTGCCTCATGGTTTTCAAGGCTGTAATCTTTATGAAAGCAGATTGCCACATCTTTCTCCCGAGGAGTGGCTGGTGAGTTCAAAAAGCCAAACTTTAGATTAGCAGCTGAATGCTTAACCACTGTACCACCAGGGCTCCTTATTGCACATATTAAAAAAAAAAAAAAACTCACTGCTATTGAGTCGGATCCAAGTCATAGCCACTCCTCCTTGGGTTGCCAAGGCAGTATCACTACGGAAGTAGATTGCCCAACCTCCTTCTGAGAAGTGGCTGGTGGCTTTGAACCTCCAGCTTTCTGGTTAGCAGTCAAGTGCCTTAGGCACTATGCTACCAGAGCTCCTATTGCACATACAGAACAGTGAAAATTTAAGCCACCACACACCCACACATTGTGTAAACAAAAGTCAATTTCTTTAAACATACACACAAGTGCCTCTTCTGGCAGTGGGTTATTAACACATCATACTCGTTTGAAGTTTTCTAACACTTTTTTTTTTTTTTAATAAGGACCTCTACTATACTAAGAATTGTGTGGCAAGTGTATTATGGATATTAGTAGCATAAAATTTTTAATGTGATAAATTATGAGAAAGCATAACTAAAACTCAAAACATATGAAAATTTAGAAAGCAAAAGACATTTGGAATAGTATTTGAAGATGCTTCCCCAGAACATAAGCCAAGTTTCTGGTATCCAGATGAAATAAGCCCTAACCAACTCAAAGGCTGCCTCAATAACAGGCTGTGTGCAATAACCAACCTAAGGCACTAAAAAAATCAACATTTCAGAAGAGGTTTCCCTGCATATCCTCTGAGCCTTGGTCTACTTCCTCTCCACCTCAAATTAGAAAAGTAAAGTGGGAAAATGTATACCTTACAAATCTCTCAGTAAGTTGCTGAACAAAATCATAAATTTCAATCCAGTTATTTGCCACACTCCCAGACCTGAAAAATGAAATTGAACTGATTAGAAAATCTAAACACCAGCATAAAATGTAAACAGACTGATTCCTTCTACAACACCAGTGCAGATGGAGGTGACCTGGCCTCTTCTTCAACCAAACTAAAGGTATCATCTGTAGCTGAAGCTTAGGTACTGTGAGAGCCAAGGAAGTCAGCCCAGCCCATCTTTGGGAGACAACCTGTCAGCTAATGGTTTAGAGTAGAACATGGCTTTTCAAAAGTAAACACAAAAATCTTGCTTAGCAAACCACACTGGGCATGTTAACCCCAGGCTTTTCCTGGCTGGGAAGAAAACGAAGTGATCAAAGAAAAGCCACCCACGCAAAGTTTAGATTGCTTGGGAAAAGGGGACCGGGGGATGGGAGAACGGAGGGGCAGTAAAAGCGCCCCGTTTCAGTTCCTAGGACGCCAATGCTGTCCTAGGTGGCCACCCTCCCACTCTCCAAAAGACCCATGACTGCAAGTAGTGAAGCCAAGTGGTCCGCCTCCTACCACTCTCACCCTATCCAGTTCCCAACCCTCACAAATCCGAGAGCACTTGCCCTTCAGACAGAGATAGCAACGGGGCACTCATCAACGGATTTCCTACACCCTGCGCGGGGCGCACACACCCATCCTTAAGCCTCCCCAATCACGGCTGATCCAGTGCCGCCCTCACCAGGAGATCCTGGACCATCTCAGGTACTCACTTGTCTAGGACGAAGTAGAGATCAAAGGCTCCTCTACAGGAGGGTTGCTCCTGGGCGCGCAGCAGCCCCCCAGAACCACTGAGCGCCAGCAGCCACAGTCCGGAGAACAGCCAGCTCCCGGGGCTGCGAGCCCGGGACCGCCCCGCCACCATCCTGCGGCCAGGGGCCTGAGCCTCCCTCTCGTTTGCAGCCCCCTTGGCTCGGCTCAGTGGTGAAGAGAAAGTAGCGGAGTGACCCTGAACGCCCCCTGGGGTGGGCGGCTGCTAGCACCCGGGGCGCTGGCGCCTCGGACAACTAAATCCACGAATCCGCAAGAGGGAGGGAGAGAAGGAGGGAGGGAGGTCCTAGAAGGACAAAGAGAGTCTCCGCCACCGGCGCAGCTGCCGCCGGAACTCTTGACGAATCCCAGTGGAAGCGCGATCCAGTCCTCCCCCTCTCGATTCCGGAGAGTTGCTGCAGACAATGAAGGCCCACAGCGACAGCTCGAGAGAGAAGTTCCTCCCCGGGCTCTGGCCGATCCTCTAGTGCCCGCCTGAGATCCAGACCAGGCGTCCCATTCCACCCAGAGGGCTGAAGTCTAGCCGCGCCAGTGCGCTGCGCCGCAGGCGCCCCGGGACGCAGCGACTGTCTCACAAACTTGGGAGAGTAGACTTCTCAGTTCTTGTTCCCTTCCTCCAGCGGCCCGCGGAGCTGATCCTCGCAACTCTTCTCGGGACTCCAAAACTTTCTTTCTGCGCTCTGCTCTGGCACAGCGCCTCAGGGCCGTCCCCTTTAGGAGGAGGAGGCTGAGTGGGCCTTGGGGCTAGTGGCTTGAGAAGGAGCTTTGCCAAATCCAGAAGTACGTCCAGGCCATCTGGTCTCTCTGTGTCAGTGTGCGCCTGAGGGTGAGGGCGTGGCCTGGTTTGAACCCGGCCGAGTCACACATGCACACTTGTGGGTTCGTGCGGAGCTGAAGATTAGTAACACTTGCCAGATTTTGAAAGGAGGAGAAGGAGTTTAGAAAAACAAACGTCCTCGGAAATCTAAACTTACTCTTATATCCTGCAGGCCTGGCCTATTTCAGCAACTGTATGAACAGTCTTCCAGCAATCTGTACGAACCATTCAAAAATGGTTTTGAGGTCAAAGATGAGCAAGTCCATGGGATATGATGGCCTCCCCACACCCACTACCACGAACACACACACTGTTGTGCAGCACGATAATCAAAGGAAGGGAACTTCCTCTTTTTCTTTTTTTTTTTTTTTTTTTTTTCCTCTTTTTTTAAACTTACTTATAGCTTCAAATGTAGTAGTATGAACAGATCAGAATTTCTGGGAGATGAATGTGTGTTCTAACTTCATAACCTAAAGCTCCATGTTAATCTTGTTCAATTTAAACATTGCTTTATTCTACCACTTGTAGCCATAATCACATAGGAATCCTGCCCCTGCAACCACATTCCTAAGATCATAAAACCATCAGAAACAGCTCACAGGACAGGCCAATCTTATTCCTCAGATCCTGAGACTAAGAAAGGGACACTGCAAAAGAAATAACACAAGTATAAATTTACTGCTTAGATGGCATTTCTTAGTAACAGGCCATCCTTTAAATGTGTTCTAGTCCACTATCTATGGTCAGAGTTAACCGGTTTTGGAGCCTGTGCTTCCCTGCCCTCTTTTACTGCCTGATGAACTGAGATGGCCCATCCAAGATGAGATCAACAGTCAAATCAAGAGCAAACAGCAGAATACACCTGTGCAGAAGAAGTCCTGACATCCATGTTGGAACACACAGACTCCATCTTAGAAAGAGATTGAGCAAGCACCTAGCCTGAAGGAAGTTGAGGTCTATCTTAGGAATTCATCACAATCTTGTTCAGCTTCCTCGCTTTCGCAAAAGGGTCAGGATTTTATGAACACCTGCCTGCAGAAGGTCTTTTGAAATCATGTACCCCACAGCCTTCAAAAACTACTGTACACGCATGGCGTTGCCTCTCATGTGTCTCAACCTTGCAAGGTTACTATCCTCTCATTAAACTTCTCTCTCAGCTATAGCTGACTTTCTGGTCATTATTCTGGAACTCGAACTACGACACAAATTCACCAGGACAAGAAGGAAAAGGAGGCTGGGGCAGGGAGTGGAAAGCTAATAATCACAGAAGATTTTGTCCTACTGTGTTCTGGTTACCTAGTGCCACTCTTACAGATATACCACAAATTGGATGGCTTTAAAAAACAGGAGTTTATTCTCTTACAGTTTGGCAGGCTAGAAATCCAAGTTCCAAGTGCCAGGCTCTAGAGGCTGTATGAAAGCCTCTCGACCTTGGGCTTCAGCTCTGTCTCTTGCTCCCAGCCCACTGAAGCTAGAGGCATCTCTTCACTCAGGCAGCTACTGGCTGCTAAGGCTAACAAGCCTAAGGTCGACAAATAAAATGGCACAATCCCAGGGTTACCAATGGCAGGCCATTAATTCAAGTTCATTGAAAGTCTCAAGGTTAGCAGGGCATGGCAGGCTACTGAACAATGACCCGGCTACATGCAGGGTTTAAGCATGCTATGAACTAGAGACCATTCCCCAAGCTGTTTCTTATCTATGGGAAGCAAACCACATCCCTAAAGCAGCTACTCAGCTGGTCCAGTAGAGTCCACCATGGAGTTAATTACTAATCTCACCATGGGGAATAACTACATCCAGCTGCCCAGCCACTCAACCAGACCTAGCCAAGTTGATACACAAACTTAACTACCACACACTATTATTCAGTCCAAACACCAGCTTTTAAAGTTTTCATCTAGGAAAAACTAAGCTGTTTTGACAAACTTGTGCAGGAGCTGAAGCTTGCATGAAAATTCTCTGCTTATTAATTCTGTGCTCTTCTCTCTCCTCCCCACCATTTTCACCTATGGGTTCCACCCTTCCCTTGTCAAAATTTGCTTTTAGAATGTACAATCTCATTGACTGACAATACTATGAGGTGACATGTCCTCCTTTTCATTTTGCAAAATCAGTGCATTATGAAAAAAGGTTCACTAAGTGCATAAGCTAGAGGCATCACTTCACTCAGGAGAGAGCTCTGGTAGTGTAGTGCCTAATGTTGTGGGTTCAGAAGAAATTGATGACCACTGTAATGTCCAGAATTTGGAAGTCTTTATTCAGCTATAGCTGGGCTGCAGGGAACTAAAGTGTTCTCCCCAACTGCAGCCCCGAGCCTGATTTCAGGCATGTTTATATAACTTAGGACTGCAAGCAAGCGTGTTACAGAAGTGAGATAAATTGCCAGGTTATTGTTCAGGGAAGATTAATGGTCAGCTTACTATTTTAAGGAAGATTGGTGGTCAGCGTATTATTAGAACAGAAACACACAATTCAGAGTGAGGGTCCTCAATTCTGAGAATTTCTGTTGGCAGGATGAGGGCTCCTGACTCTGGGAATTACTATTAATAGGGCCCTCAGGGAAAGGAAGATTAGCAGGGCTCTCAGGAAAAAGGAAGGGGGGAGTGGGTTTCTCAGGGATGTTTGGTTTAGCAAAGGAAGAAGGAAGTAGGTTTCTCACAAAAATTGCAAAATAGAATCATTTACTTCATTCCCTACTGTTTTTGTTTGAGAATCAAATCATTGATCCATTATTTGGTTCTTGAGTATCAGGGGTCGTGTACTGGGTTCTAAGAACCATGAGTTTCACAGCCCCAATCCTATTCTGTATGAACTTGATTAGGGTGTTTAACAGGCAGAGTTCAATGATGAGGTCAAGTAGAAGTAACACTAGTGGACCTATCAGGTTAGTAACAAGGGTTGTTGCCCATGGTGACCAGTCAAATAAGTTTTGGTACCATCCTTTACTTGAGTTTAGTGTATTTTGCCTTTCTTTTATATTTTTTTTATTCTGCAAGTTTACTTCAGTTAGGGATTCAACTTGCTTTGAGAGTTCTGAGATAGAGAGTTTTAGTCCACTTAAATCTATGTTGATGTTTTGGGTTAGTCCCCTCAAGCCCTGGTCCTGGATGATAAGGGTCAAGATGCCTGTGGCTGTGGACCCTGCAATTCCCAATCCCACAAGTAGAGGAATTAATATGGGAACTCTTTTATGCCTAAGGTATTCTGAGGCTGTTAGTAAGGTTAGGCCCTGGTCTCCTTCATATACATTGATCTGGGTTAACATACGTACTGAGGTGCAAAACCAGGTCGATGTACATGAAGGAGACCAGGGCCTAACCTTACTAACAGAAATACTGAACGCATAAGTAGATATACAGGTGTCTAGGTCAAATGAGTAAGAAAACCAAGTGTTTTGGGGAGCATGGATATATATAGGTGTTCCCATAGTTAGTGACTGTACATGAGTAACTCCTTCCTACCCTGGGATATACTAAGGTGTGTGAATCTACTTTAAAACTGAAAGCTTCAAGGTCGTCACGCTGAGTGGCCTTGAAGGCCACTTGTCCTGTGGTACCTTCAATTACTGTTCATTGAAACTGGGTAGGGGATACTTTCCAGCAAAAAAAAAAAAAAACAACCCTATAACCAACATGTACATAAACATAAGTAAGTTAAGACTGTGAAACAGGGGAACTAGACACTCTTAGCTTGAGAGGTTGATTGGGGTCTTTGAGGATTTATTATTGTGAGTCGGGAGGTGCTGGCTTCAGATGCATGCGATGAATCCATGGTATGGAGCTATTCACTTTCACAGCTGTGGGTGTAGTCAAAACCACAGTGCAAGATCCCTTCCAACGTAGGGTTAATCCTGTAGCAGTGTGTCTTTTCACCAGAACTAGTCCTCCTGGCTGGCAACGGTGTAAGAGTTTAGTAAGAGTGGAGGGTGTTGGTTCTGGGAGTCCAGTCGTTGCATTCCCAATCACCTGGATAGAAGCTAGGGAGGGGAGTATCTGTAGGACATAACAACCTGCTGTAAGTAAACTGGTTAGTGTTGCAGATAAAGTTTATACATGTTTTAAAATAACTAACTCCTTAACAATTTTAAGGTCTCCCTTTCCTGCATAACTAGGATGCTACACTCTAGAAAATGGTCTCCCATATAATATTTCATATGGGCTTAACTTAAGCCTGCTTCTGGGGCAAAAGGTCAGGTAAAAGTTTTATCTAAGATAAGTTGGTCTCTTACCACACCTTAGCTAGTGTCTTCTTAAAAGTGTGTTTCATCTTCTTAGTTTTTCCTGTCAATAGACTAATCTTCTGTTACTTGCTGGACAATTTGAGATGCAAATGTTCTCTCATAATTACTTTGAACTGAGACTAGCAAACTAAACTGGAGATGATTTTAATAGGGTTTACTCACCTCTGCTGCTTTTCCATGCTGCAGGGAAAGGTTTTTACCCATCCAATGACAGTATTTACGAATACTAACAGGTACTTGATTTCTCAGGAGTTACGAATTTTACCTGCCAGTCCTCACATAGACTCAGTTGTTTTGTTTGAATTCTTCTTATTACTGGAGGTAGACTGCTTAAGTTTTATATACCCATTTAAGGAGATCAGAAGGATTTTCCTTGAGGCTTTGTTGTACTTCCTGAAC